GCCTGAGGGTGCAGAGGGAAGGCTGAGGTGTAGCCGGAAGGCTGAGGTGTAGCCAGGCTGAGTTTGCCTATGGGATGGATGGATGGATGGATGGCTAAGAGGGAAGCCCTGAGATCCTACGATTCTACCTCCAGGGATCTGTCTCATCCAAGCCTTCCTCCAGCGGTGCCAAGCTCTGCACACAGGCCTGTATATGGCTACTTGTGAGTCAATATGGAAATGATCCCAGCAGCCATTGATGGGATCCAAGCAAATAAATTATGCCCATCTGGACAAGCCACAGAACGCATCTGAGCGGGAAGAACAGCATGGACCCATCTTGTGCTATAAAAACGCTAATCATGTGTACATAGGTTATAAATCTCCAGAGAACGGTCTGAAATACCCTGGTAACTGCAGTTGTCATGTCCAGGGAGGGTCTTACTTTCCATTTGCTGTGATAGACACCATGACCGGGGCAACTTAAAGCATTTAATCTGGGGGTTCATGGTTGCAGAGGGTTGGAGTCTGTGGTCCTCATGGCGGGGAGGGTGGCTGCAGGCTGTGGTGCTGAGAGCTCACCTTTGATCCTCAGGTAGGAGACAGAGAGCAGGAGCTCACTGGGCCTGGCTTGGGCTTTTGACACCTCAAAGCCCACCCCCAGTGACACACCCTCTCCAACAAGGCCACACCTCCTGATCCTTCCCAAACTGATCCAGAAGCAGACCGGGCATTTAAATATATGAGCCTGTGGGGACCATTCTTGTTCAAACCTCCCTATTATCATTGTCTATTTTGCTGGGGTGTTTGTTTGTTTGTTTGTTTGTTTGTTTGTTTGTTTCAAAACAGTGTAGTCTTGGCTGGAACTTGTTCTAGAACTTGGCTGCCCTCAAACTCACCCACCTGCCTCTGCCTCCTGAGTGCTGAGATTAGAGGCATGTGTCACCGCTGCCCAGCTGTTTATTTTTGAGACAGAGTGTCCCTCTGCGAGTCAGGCTGGCCTTCAACTCTCAGCAATCTTCTAACCAGCCTCTTGAGAACTATGATTCCAAGTATGCACCACACCCAGCTTTACTTTTACAATTCCTTTTTTCTTTTTTTTTTTTTTTTAAGATTTGTCATGTATACAGCGTTCTGCCTACATGTACACCAGAAGAGGGCACCAGATCTCATTATGGATGGTTGTGAGCCACCATGTAGCTGCTGGGAATTGAACTCAGGACCTCTGGAAGAGCAAGTAGTGCTCTTAACCTCTGAGCCATCTCTCCAGCCCCAATTCTTTCTTTAAAAATATTTTTATTTATTTTTATGTGCATTGGTGTTCTACCTGAATGTCTGTACAAGTGTGTCAGATTCCCTGGAACTGCCATGACAGACAGTGTGAGCTGCCTTATGGGTGCTGGGAATTGAACCTGGGTCCTCTGGAAGAATAGCCAGCCAGCACTCTTAACTGCTGAGCCATCTCTCTAGCCCCTGCATTTCTGTGTGTGTGTGTGTGTGTGTGTGTGTGCTTACGCCATATCTCATGTGTGAGGGTCAGGACAACCATGTAGGTCCTCGAGATTGAAATTAGGCTTTCAGCTGCTGAGCCATCTTACTGGCTCCTATTTATTTCATACTACTATTATCTATTTATAAGACAAGGTCTCATGCAGCCAAGGCTAGATTTGAACCCCTGACCTTCTGCCTGTATTACAGATGCAGGCAACCACCTGGCCTTCTTGGCACCAAGGCATGCTATTTGGGGCTCTCCTGTGTGTTCCCATCTGGCTTCCTCACAGTCCGTGACGACAGCTGAAGCTGTCAATACAGTGAAACCAGATGGATGGATGGCAGTAGAGTATTCTTCCTCTTGGGTCTGGGGCTCCTCAATCCACCCTGTCTAACCTACCTGTGTGATCAACAGCAGTGTTCCCAGCCCTGAGGTCATCAGTGATTCTCAATTTGCCGAGGCCATGCTTCATTGCCACAGCTAGAAGCCAGATGCGACTTTGGAGCGTGGCCTCGAAGGATCTTCAGCCTTGTGGATGACCTTGAGAGCACTGGCCAGGCATTCTTTTTTTTCTGGGGTTTGAGACAGGGTTTGTCTGTGTAGTCTTGGATGTTCTGGACTCACTTTGTAGACCAGGCTGGCCTCGAACTAAAAGAGATCCGCCTGCCTCTGCCTCCTGAGTGCTGGAATTACAGGTGTGTGTCACCATGCCTGGCTTCTTATGTACCATCTTGGCATCTTGGAAAGATAGGGGAAGAAGCCTGACTCTGACCACAACTTTTTATTTTTTTTTCCTTTGAGATTTTTATTTTGGACTTGGCAAGGGAGCACAAACTTTTAATCCCAGCACTCACAAGGCAGAGGCAGGTGGGTCTCTGTGAATTTGAGGCCAGCCTGGTCTACATAGTGAGCTCCAGGAAAGCCAGGACTATATAGAGATAGTCTGTCCAAAAACAAACAAAAAAGATTTTTTTTTTCCTGTAATTTATTTATTTATTTATTTTTCTTCTCCAGGCAGGTTTTCTCTGTGTAGCCTTGACTCTCCTGGACTCACTTTGTAGACCAGGCTGGCCTTGAACTCAGAGATCTGCCCGCCTCTGCTTCCCCAAGTGCGGAGCAGGTGTGAACTAATTTATTTTTAATTATGTGTGTATGAGTATATGTGTGTGTGAGGGCAGGTACCTCAGCAGTTTAGAACAGCGTGTCCCCCGAGCTGGATCGTGGATGGTTTTAAGGCCCCTGAGGTGGGGGCTGGGAACTGAACAGGTCCTCTGCAAGAGCAGTAAAAATTCTTAACCACAGAGTCCTCTCCGGCCTCTCTCACCCTTACTGTAAATGTCTAGTCTTTTTTATTGCCAATCAGAGGCGCTCGCTACTTTTAAAGGAAAAGACAAAATTCGATGAAGGGGGCAGACGTAGGAAAGCAACTGTGCAGACTGAGCTTGGGCAAGGGTGATGTGGCGGGAGGAGCCATGACGCGGTCGTTTGTAGACAGGAGCGAGCGGGACGGCTGGAAACAGAAGATCCCAGGAGCTACGGGGAGCTACGGGACGGGCAAGGGGGAGGCTGGTGTCTAGTGGGTGGAGTGTGGACCTTGCATGGACTGTAGGAGGCAGAGCGCTGAAGAGTGGACCTGCAGGGGGTTGGTGAGGCCATATGTGGGCGGGTAAGACCCCAGGCCAAGTAGCAGCTGCAGCTACCCGTGGCTCTCAGGTTCCTGTGAGGCTCTTTAGCTGCAGCCCTGGGCGGGAAGGTGGAGGCCGCAGGCTCCACCCCTTTCCACATCCAGCCAAGGTGCTGTCCCCACTTTGCAGAGAAGGAAACTGAGGCCCAGACCTGTGAAATTCCTTGCTTGAGTAGGCACTGGCTGAGCCAGCAACCTCCTAGCACAGCTGGGACTGAATGTTCTCACTAAGATCCAAATACAGACCTTGGCAGCAAGTAGAGCACCAGGACTGTCAGTCAGAGAAGTCTTCTGCCTGCCAGAGCCCCAAGAGCCCCACCCACCCCCCACGGCTGCCACCCCCAGCCTTGGGGGCAGATGGCTTAATTTTAGGGGCGGCAGAAGCTTCCAGAAGGGAATCCTGACTCAGAAATCCCAAGCCTCAGGCAAGTGGCTGCGCTTACCTAGCTGAGTGTCTGTACTCTTCCTAGAAGAGAGGATTGGAGATACCCCCAAGGGCTGGGGAGGTGACTCCTCAGTGGGTACAGCCATTGCTGTGTAAACACAAGGCCCTGAATTTGAACCCCTAGCAGCCCTGTAAAAAGTCAGGAATGGCCGGGCCACCCTAGCACTAGGGCGGGGGCGTGCAGACAGAGACTGGTTCCAGGAGCCATCTGGCCAACCAGTTAGCCAGAGGGACCCTGGCTCTCAGCACTAAGACGGAGAACAACACAGGAGACGCCCAACATCTTGCTCACACAAGGGTGTGTGTTTCCTGCACGCCCACATGGACCATACACTTGACACACCACACACACACACACACACACACACACACACACAAGAACACACATGAATACAAATAAAATTAACCTGAGGAAAAGATACCCCAGACGAAATTCCTTTCTTGTGTGACGCTTTTGATTCTTTGCGCCGGTGTCTCGGGTGGTTTGGACCGGCCTTGCACTGTAATTGATGACGCCCCTGAACGCCTGGTCCTCCTACTTCTACCTACCAGAGACGTAGATGACAACAGTGCCCGGCCTGAAGAGAACATTTTTTTTGAGGCAGAGCCCTAGGCTGCCAAGACTATCCTAGGCCTAGCTACATAGCTGTGGCTGGCCTTGAACTCCTGATCTTGAGTGCTAGATACACACCACCACACCTGACTCCCAGGTCCTAGCTTAGAAATATCTTTAAAAAAAAAAAAAAAAAAGATTTATTTTTGGTTTTCATTATGTGTACGTATGTGTCCAGGGAGAGACACGTGAAAGCAGGTGTCTACAGAGACCGGAAATGCCCTGGAGCTGCGGTTACACGTGGTTGAGATCTGTTCAACATGAGTGCTGGGGGTTAAACTAGGGTTCTCTTCAGGAGCAGCGCACTGTCTTAACTGTGGAGCCATCTTCACAATCCCTAAAATAGCTTTTTAAAAGCTGGGCGTGGTGGCACACGCCTGTAACCCCAGCACTCAGGGAGGCAGAGGCTGGTGGATCTCTGTGAGTTCGAGGCCAGCCTGGTCTACAGAGTGAGTCCAGGTCAGCCAAGGCTACACAAGGAAACCCTGTCTCGAAAAGATTTTTAATGTGAGCATTTTTGATATTTGTTTGGAGGGTGGGCACGTGCCACGGTGCACATGTGAAGGTCAGAGGCCAACCCATGGGAGTCAGTTCTCTCCTTCCGCTAGGTGGGATTGAACTCAGGTCGTCAGGGTGTGACACAGCAAGCCCCTTTACCCACTGCGCCATCCTGCTGCCCTCTCCCAGCTTGAAGATATCTTAAAGGGGGACCACAACAGCACTAGACAGAAATCCCTCCCACACCCCATCCAATTCACATACAGCCCCAGACACAGGCCAGGAGTCGTGGGGGTAAAAACAGGTCCTTTATTTGGGCGGGCAGACCCCAGACTGGGTTGGTGGGAGGACGCAGCGGACCTCAAGTACCAGACTGGGGGACCAGCTGGCCGATTGAGACATGAGGTGGTTGGAGGATGTTCTCGGCTTCGAGCGCCAGGCCCAGGCCGGGAAGGAATGTCAGCCTTCAGTGCTAAGCCTGCTTGGTGCCCTGTGTACAGGGACCAGAAACTGGTGGCCAAAGTTGCCCTACCCCCCAGTACCCATAAAGCAACCAAGAGAGCCTCTGAGTCCTCTGTCCCTTCAAGGTGGAGCCAGGACCACTGGGGTCAGATTCTGTGGAGGTCAGACAGAGAGGACACTCAGAGGCGAGGGTAACCCCCCGCCCCAATTTCCAGAGAGCAGGCACAGCTGGAAGGAGAAACACTTTAATGCAGGCTGCACACACTGGCCCCACGGCACACACAGCAGGCACACAAAAGCCTTGCCCAGCCCCTTCCGCAGAGAAAACCACACTGAGCACACAGACGGCCCTGACGGCTGCCCCGGGGGCTGCAGCGGGCCGAGGACTAGCCTGGGGCTGTCACCTACTGGTTCTCTTCCCTGCTGGCAGCATGAGGAGACAAAGACACAAAGGCTCAGCTGGACTCTCAGATACTGAACTCTGGGAGCTGAGGCCAGGTCCCACCAACATCTGACAGGGATAACCTCCCCTAGAGGTCAGAAAGAAGGGGGCCGGCTCCCTTGGGGGAAGTTGGGAGAGGAGTCATTGTCCTTAGGACCACCCCCTAGGTCCTTAGGAAGTCAGTCGGGAAGACAGCTACTGCTCGGCTGCCGGGCTACGTACTCACAGCGTCTGGTAAGTGCTGTCCTTGGCCTTGAGGAAGCGCAGCACAAAGAAGGCTGTTGCTTGCAGGCTTAGCACCAGCACGATGCCACCGATGAAGCTGGCTCCGTCAAAACCTGGGCTGTGGGCTTCAGGGCCTGGGGGACTCCCTGCGGGGTGAGGCAGGGGGGAGGTTACACAGGCCACCGGGCCCATCCTACGACTGATGCTTCAGTCCTCAAGATGGGGCCAAAGGCTACAGTGTTCCGAAGTCCAGCTGAGGGCTGGGGATGCAGCTCAGTGGTGGAGCCCTCCCTTGCTTAGTTTGTCTAGTGAGGCCTTTGGTTCAATCCCTACAGCAACACATACATACACACACACATACATGCATACACACACACTCACACACACACACACACACACAGACAGAGATGGATAGAGACAGACAGACAGACAGTCAGAGAGAGGAGGGCCCACTTCAGACCCATCAAGTCCCACAAAGTCCCACAAGCTGGTAGAAGGGACAGTTGGGCCTGGGGAGCTGTCTACCTCTATTCCTGAGCTGTTCCGTAGCTTTATGTCACACACACCTCTCTGGGCCTTCTTCAGGACTTTAAGCTTGGCGCCCTCACCAAGAGCGGAAGGGACAGAGGACAGGTGGAGGCCCAGGGTCAGTGCCCTACGGAGCGGGCAAGGGCAAGAGAAGCCTGGACAATGGCTGGACCTGGCTGGCTCCCTGACCTGGCTGTCCAGACCTGGCTGGCTCCCTCTGCCCTTCGCCCTTTGTCGGGAAGGTCTCAGCACCGTGGTCCCTAGTCTAGGCATCACCCATCAATTCCGACCAGGGATTTAATTTCAGGCCCTGGGCCAGGTGCCGAGGGCAGGAAAACACTGATAGGAGGAAGATCATCTCTGGGACAATGGACAAGGGGCCCAACTGGGGACAGGGTCCCCTTTCTGGAGGATATGGCTGGTGCAGAATCTAAGAACACAAAACGGGAAGGATGGCTCTGCTGGCTGGAGCTGAGAGCCGCAGAGAAGGATGCTGGGAAAGGGGACAGAAGGGAAGACGTGAGCAGCGCATGGCAGATCTGGGGCTCAGGCCGAGGGAGCAGAGCCATCCATAATTTATTCTCCAAGATCAGTTTCCGGCTTTAATTAACCAAGAGCCTCTTCAGCCATCCTGGCACAGCTCAGCGACCTCTAGGCCTCAGAGCAGGAGTGGGGACCTACAGGCAGATGGGGTTCCTTCCTTGCTCTGCTGGGAACCCACTCTGGGGACCTCGGCTTGGAGCAGGTGGTCACTGACGGCATCTCTTAGCAACCAGAGCCCCACCTCCTCAGCTCCAAGCAAGGATCTGGAAAGGGGGTCGCCCTGATTTCCCAGAACCCGTGGGGATAGAAGCTTCCATTTCCTGACTGCTTCTGATGCGTCAGACGCTGAAGCGGGCCTTACACAGCCTCCTAAGTCCTCACGGCACTGTGAGGCGGTTGATCTGTCCAACCATCTCACAGGTGTAGAGAGAGAGACACTGGAGAGAACTCGGAGGACTGGGGTCATGGGGCATGCATGTCAGACCTGTGCCCCATCTGCTGCTGCCGCCCCACCCCCGCCTCCCCTCCCGGGGAGGGCCCTACCTGTTGTGCTTGTCTTCGGTTCCTGGGTAGGATGGTGGTGCGGAGCTGAGGAGACAGGGAATCTACCATAAAACAGCTTCCCCTCCTGCCAGGAACCCCAAGCCTGGGCCAGTGGCTGGGCCCACCTCCCACTCAGATCCCATCCCTGCCCCATTCAAGCCTATTCGCCTAGTGTCCTCCGGGAGCTGTGCTCTGCCCATAGGGCTCATCTCTGATGCCACTCCACTCGCTTCAGGAAGATCCCTCCGTTCCAAAGACCTCGCTGTGCCTTACTTCACAGGAAGGCTGGCTCCCCCAGCCCCCGGGCACACATGGACCAACTTATAGGCTAGGAGATCAGCCGGGGCAAGGACCAGCCGTTTGTGGGTGCAGGCCACTCCCTGAGAGAAGTTAGTACCTCCTGGAAGCCGTCTGTGGCTGGAAACAGCACTCCCCCCCCCACCAGCCCGCCCCTTCATGTAGGCTTAGAGTGAACTCTCTTACCTGGGCATGACTCTGACCGGTTATAGACAGAGCAACCTTCCTTGACCACCTCTGCTTGGGTCACACAGTGTCCTGATGGGAGAAGGAGCAGGGAAGAGGTTTGGGAAGAGACTTGGGGTGATGCGGACGGGAGGATGGAGACCCAGGGAGAGCCCAAGGGCGCACCTGGCTCCTCAGGCCCACATTGCTGCCAGGCGCAAACGGTGAGGTTGTGGGCCCTGTCCACACAGCGTTCACAGTGTCCCAGGTGTTTGCAGCCCCCCTGGGCGGTAGGGATGTTCAAGCGGGTCAGGGCTCCCCGCCCAAAGCCACGAGCTCCTTTACCTGCCAGTTGGGGGTGGAAATGGGAAGAGCGCAGCAGACTGCCCGGGGGCCAAGCTGAGCCCTTCCTCCTGGGTAGCCGCTCCACAGGCCTGGAGCTTCCCCAAGTCCTGGTTACACTCACCTGGCGCCCCCTCTCCTCCCCCCTCCCCGTTTCTCCCTTTACAAACTCCTGAAGTTCTCAGGGACACCTGGAGTCACCTCCTCCGCACCTACCTAAGTCTCCTAGCCCCCCCCCCCCAACACCTGGAACCTATAAATCCGCACTAAGGTCCAAATACACCCCTGGAGTCCTGCAGACGTCGGAAAAGTTCCCTCCCACAAGCCTAGAGGTGCTGGAACAGGAGGCTAACATAAGCTACAGGGTCCACCTGCCCCTGCCTGGACCCCTGATCGCATCCTGCTCAGCGTTACCGGCTAGAACCAGCTGGGCACACAGGAGGAGGCAGCAGCAACCGCCGCACAGAGCAGCACGCAGGGCGCGGGGGCCGGGAGCGGCCATGGACGCGGGGGCCGGGATTGGGGGTCGGCCGGCAGCTGGTGTGGCGCCTCCTTTCTTGACTCCACTCGCCGAGCTTGCCAGAGCAAAGACCTGGGCAACGGAGGCGTGGCCAGGCGGGAGCGCGGCTGCCTCGTGGGCGTGGCTAGGGGGAGGGTGTGACCGGTGGGAGGGTCGAAGACCGCAGGGGCCAAGAGGCGTGGCTGTGTTTGGCAATTTGGGGGCGGGGTCTGAACGAAAGGGGTGTGGCTCAGGACTAAGTGCTCCCGGGTAGCCGAGGGCAGCTTCCAGGAAGGAGTGGTGGCGCAAGCTTTTAATCCCAGCGCTCGGGAGGCAGAGGCAGGCCGAGCTCTACGAGGACAGGCCTGGCTTGTCAACATAGCAACCGCGTTTCGGTGAGTTTTTAGGGAATCACTGTGTAGCTCTGGCTGTCCGCCCTGTTGCAGACCAGTCCTGAGATTTTGTTTTCAATCGATGGGTCGCGCGACACCTGTGGCAAACCTCCTCAAAAAATGTTTACATTACGACTCATAACAATAGTAAAATTACAGTTATGAAACAGCAACGAAAGTCATTTTATGCTTGGGGGTCACCACGACATGAGCTGCGTTAAAGAGTTGCAGAATTAGGAAGGCTGAGAACCACTGTAGGCCCTAGAGACTGTTTTTAGTCCTACTTCACAGGTGAGGCTCAGAAAAGGTGGGTGACCAGTCTGAACCCACAGTGGTGAAATCTGGACTTGATTCAGGCCAGACCTCATAGTATACACACTCAGGTCTTGTAAAGGCTGGGCCAGGACTCGGCTACCCCTCACCCTTGGCTGCCTATTTCCGGCCACTGTGCTGTGTGCTCTGCCTCCAGCTCATCATACCTCTGGGTCACAAAAGTGCTGCCATTACTAGCTCACTGAACCCCTGGGGAGCTTCCTCATCGTGGCCTCTCTCCTGTCCTGGAACAGCGTCTCTGCAGCGGTTTCTCAGTTCCTTTGCAGGGAGCAACCCTTTTCTCCCCAGCTCCTTCTTAATCAGTTGTGGCCATCTTAGTCCTGAGCCTTAGTCTGTCCTCTCCTACGATCATCAGGAATTCAAGATCATCTTTTGCTACAGAGGGGGTTAGAGGCTAGGCTAAAGACCCCTGGCACAGAGGGTTGTGTGGCAGCCCAGAATAGTGGCGCACGCCTTCAATCCCAGCACTCGGGGAGGCAGAGGTAGTCGGATCTCTGTGAGTTTGGGGACAGCCTGATCTACATAGAACGTTCCAGGACAGCCAGGATGACAGAGAGACCCTGTTTCAAAAACAAAACAAATGGGTGCGTGGCTGGAGATTTGGCTTAGTTCTTAAGAGCACTGGCTGTTCTTCCAAATCTAGGTTTGATTCTAGGACCACATGGTGGCTTCAACCGTCACTCTGTTCTGGGAGATTCAGTGCAGTCTTCATAGGCATCAGGCATAAAAGTGGTCAGGCAAAATATCTACCCATATAGATTAAACAAACAAACAAAACAGCAAAGAAGCACATATCTGTCACCCAGCACTTGGGACGCCCAGGCAGGGCAGGAGGGTTGCGGGCTTTAAGCCAGCTCTGGCTGCAACACAAAACACTGCCCGCCCACCCCACAGCTGCTCAGGGGAAGCTACAACTCGGCAGGGCCTCAGCGGGAGGGGTCCCTGTTTCCTCTGCACCTCCACCTGAGTGTCATTAAGCCTCTATTTCCTGTCCTCCGCACAGGAAGTCCCCACTGTTTCTGCCCCTCTCACTTTCTCTAGTCACCCACTTTGGAGCCCATCATTCCGTTCCCCACCCCCCCCAGCCTTTCGCCCAGTTAAAATCCTCAGACTCCATCTTCCGGTTTCCCCGGGCCCTGACCCCACAGCCCCACCCTGAGCTGGCCCTCACGCAGATGTCCACATCTCTTTCTGTTAGCCGCCTGTCAGCATGGCTTGTCCCCCACATGGAACCCTTGGACTTCTGACTCTGGGACAAATCTTGCTTGTCTCAGGCTTTCTCCATCACACCTCACTCCCAAGATAGCAAAGCATTCTTGCCTTTATCCCAGCTCTCTACCCTTGGCTCCATCTGTCTAGCTAATTAATCCTTGGAGCCACCACTGAGAAAGATTATTGGAAAAAAAAAAAAAAAACAAAAAACACCCCAGGCCCTGCTGCCCCTCAACCTCACCAGCTCATGGCTTCCTTCCAACTCGTGGCTCTCCATCACCCACTGGAGTCTTCCCTGATGCCTTCAAAGCTCAGACCCTGCGCTCACTTGGCTCCCTGGTCGTCAGCCTCCTCTCTGGTCCTCCCCTTCTGGGATGGCTGTCCTCTTGCTGTGCCCTGTCCTGGAAAGTCAGACTCCTCTGTCCCCTTTTCATGTGACTCACTTCCTAATCTCTCTTCTGAAAAGACCTCTCTCCTGCACGCCAGCACTGCTTTCCTCCGGAGCAGGGATCCGATGCATCATTAACTGCCCATTTGTTTCCTGGTCTGCAGGCTCCACAGTGACGGGAGCCATGGCTCTCTTCCTGGGTGAGCCCCTGCTCTCCTGCTTCCTTTTGTGACTGTTCTTGTGCACGCGTGCCCAGCCCGCTGCTCTATGAGACCCTCCGGGACGCCTTAACACACAGCATCTCTTTGTACATTGCCTATTTCTCTCTGTTAAGATAGAAATTCAGTTGGGCAGCGGTGGCGCATGCCTTTAATCTCCGCACCCGGGAAGCAGCAGCAGACTGATTTCTGAATTTGAGGCCAGCCTCATCTACAGAGTGAGTTCCAGGACAGCCAGGGCTACACAGAGAAACCCTGTCTTGAAAACAAAGATTCCTGGAAGAAGACAGTGATTTTGTTCACTGCAGGTTTTATTCTCTCTGCCTGGCAGACAGCAAATACTCAATATCGCTCAGTCTCTGGCACCCACCCTGTCCCAAGACCAGGGCACTGGCTGTTTTGTTTTGGTGGGGGAGTTGGTTCAAGACAGGATTTCTCTCTGTATCCCTGGCTGTCCTGGACCAGGCTGGCCTCAAACTCGGAGAGTCACCTGCCTCTGCCTTTCAAGTACTGGCATTAAAGGCAGACGCCACCACCTCCTGGCTCTGAAGAGGGCACTGTTACCGGAAACCGGGTGAGTGAGGGGCTGGAGAGGTGGCTTCGAGGTGGAGGGTGCCTGCTGCTTTTCAGAAGACCTGGGTTCAGTTGCTAAGTCATACAGCTCACCATCTTTAATAGCTCCAGTTCCAGAGCATCTGATGTCCGCTCTTATGGCCCCAGAGAGTATCAGACACACAGGTGGCGCAGAGACATATATGCAGACAAAAATCCTGTACAGGTAACATAAAAATAAATAAATAAATAAAACTTTAAAAAAGAAGACTGGTTCGATGAATGGGTCTGTACAGACATAACAACAACAACAACAAAAATGTGCTAACTATCCAGTCTCCTGAATTTTGGATGAAGTCAGAATGGAGACAGTGGGATGAGGTGGCACACGCCTGTAATCCCAGCACTGGGGGAGGCAGAGACAGAGGCAGGTGGATCACTGTGAGTTCCAGTCCGGTCTGGGCTGAGTGAGTCCAGGACAGTCAGGACTACGGAGAGTGACTCCCCGTGACTCACATACACTGCATTCGTGTGTGAACTCACGTGGTAGAATGCTTGTCACTGTCGGAAGCCTGGGTCTGATTCCGGTGCCACATGAAACCATTTGTGGTGGGGCACGGCTGACGCCAGCACTCTGGAGATAGAGAGGGAAGATCAGAAATTCAAAGGTCAGCCTGTTTCTCAGAAAAAAAAAATATTCTGGGCTGGAGAGATGGTTCAGAGGTTAAGAGAACTGGCTGCTCTTCCAGAGGTCCCGGGTTCGATTCCCAGCACCCATACGGCAGCTCACAATCTGCCTGTAACTCCAGTTTCATGAGATCCAACACTATCACACAGACAAACATGCAGGCAAAGCACGAATGCACATGAAATAAAAATAATTAAAAAAAAAAAAGTTTCACCTGGCAGGAAAGCACACAGCCATCTAGTGGCCGCCTGGAGAACTGCAAGTTTGTCAGTGAGCCCACTTCTCTTTGGCCCCTCTTTGGGGAGAGGGTGCCCTCTATGCTAGAGCAGGCAGCACCCGGGGCTTGGTTACAGCTTCACCCTCCAGTCCTACCACGCACAACTTAACCTTGTAGGGTGGCTGGTGGGAAAGATTGGCATGTGCGTTGGTGGTAGGGAGGAAGTAGGGAGATGGGGTATGGGGACGGGGTTGAGAAAGGGAGAGAGCGTTTAAGAAGAGCTGACCACAGCCATGTATGCTGGCTCATGCCTCTCACCTTAGCTGAGGAGGATTCCCACAAGTCTGAGGCCAGTCTGGGATACAGAATGAGACTCATATCTGTCTCTGTCTCCGTCACACACACACACACACACACACACACACACACACACACACACACACACGCTTTGGTGCCTGAGAGAGCACACATGTGAACGTTCAGTCTCATTCAGTCTCTGAATCTCCAACAGTTCTCACAGAAATATCCTCACACTTTCCCTCCCTGGCAGCCAGGGAGGCAAGCTTCACTGTAAAGAACACAGTGACATGCAAGGGAGGAAGTTCGTGACCATCCGCCTACCTCAGCAGAGGTAGAATCTTCACTCTGGGATGGTAACTGTCACTAAGACAGAGATTAAAGGAAACTAGGATGTCATCTTTGTATTTCGATTCAGAACCTGTTTTGGTGGTGGGTTGTTGGGGGCGTTGTAGAGGGATACACCATGCTTGGGTGGAGTTTATTCTATAGAGAAAAGTTAGTCCAAACAGAGTGCAGGAAATGGCCTGTAAGGACCAAAGATCTCAACAGATGGGCAGCCTGGTGCCCTGGTGCACACCTTTCATCCCGTACTGGGGAGGCAGAGGCAGATGGATCTCTGTGAGTTCAGGCCAGCCTGGTCTACAGAGCGAGTTCCAGAACAGTCAAAGCTACACAGAGAAACCCTGTGTCAAGAAGAAGAAGAAGAGGAGGAGGAGGAGAAAGAGAAAGGAAGGGAGGGAGGGAGGGAGGAAGGAAGGAAGAAAGGAAGGGAAGGAAGCGAAGGAAAACGGCTGGGCTGGGGCGAGTGCTGGAGAAAATGGCTCAGCAGTTCAGAGTACCTGCTGCTCTGCTGCAGAACCCAGTGCCCACTTCAGGTGTCTCACAACCACAATTGAAGAGATTTGATACCATCTTCTGGCCTCTGTGAGTGCTTACACGTTCATGGCATACACTCAACACAGAAACACACAAGTAAAAATTATTTTTTTTTTTTAAAGAAATAACCGTAGGGACAGGTGGACAGAGCAGAGAAGTCACAGGCCGGGGATGGAGTGACAAACAGGAGCAACTGAGGACTGGACCTACAGTGGCAGGACAGTTCGCTTTCATTTTGGTACAGGCTGGCCTCAGTCTCGGTACGTAGCTCAGGAGGACCTCAACCTCCCAAGTGCTGAGATTGCA